CCATCCCAATACTTGGGGTATAGATGCAAACACCCACAGAGAAGCAGCCACTCCTTCCAAACCCAACACAAGTAAGATTTGCCCTTTAATTAGCATCTGCAGCTGCTGCCATCAGAAGGGTCTGTCGCTGTTGGCCTGAACATCTTTGCTTTAGAGAGCAAGTCCATTATAGCTCCAAGCCAGGCTCGTCTGTCAGCTGCTGTGCTTTCTCTGCCGTCCGTAGGGCTGTCACACTGTTTAGGGCTGTTTCCCTGTAGGGCTCTTTTTCCTCCTCTCGTCTCCTGAGCCTTTGATTACCAGGCCTCGGTGATCACCATTTGGGTGACCTGCAGCTGTTCACTGTGTGCAGGGATGGGCGAGTTACTTTCCAGCCCTTGTCAGTGATCTTGTTTTGATATGCAAAAAGGCTCCAAGTCGTCATTAAAAAAATGTAAGCAGCAGAGGTGATGGCTGCATTAAGGCCAGGTTTCATACAAGGGCACCTCTGCTGTAGAAACTTTTCGTTTGGATGGAGTAGGGAGCCACATTGGCTCCACAACCTCATCGGCAGTGGTTTTGATTCGACGCTGGGCTGGCTGCATCAGAATCACCACCATAGCTCCTTAAAAACGCAGATTCCTGCACCCCACCCATGGAGCTTGACCAGTGAAGTCTAGGTTTGGTCCCTGCAGCTTTGTAACAAGCTCTCTGAGTGGGTGGGATGGAAAGGAGACTTACTTTATCCTTTCATACTGCTTAATTTTTTTTAATTCTTTTTCGTTCCACTAGAATTCTAGCTCTATGAAGGCAGGGATTTTTGTCTGTTTTAGTCACTGCTGTTTTCCTAATCCAGAACAATGTATGGCACATAGTAGGCACTCAAATATTTATTTGGATGAATTTTAAAAAAGCGATTCCCCAGGTGATTCTGGTGGGCAGGCAGGTTTGAGAAGCCCCACCCTAGAGTCTAATTAGCTTAGAAGCCACATTTTTAGGGGATCAGAACCTCACTGGGCATCTCTGAGTAGTAAAAGTCAGGGACAGTGTTACATTTTTGGACAAAACCAGATTCTGTGAATGGACTGTCTGGCACAGCCTGGGTGGCGACATTGACCATAATCTGTTCATAGTGTTCTGCTGACCTTTGTCTTTGATTCACAGTAAGTCATCTGGTATGAAGACCTGAAGACTCTCAGTTTCTGACTTTTGATGATGCTTTCAGAACCTCTTGATTTGGTACCATTTTTAAAAGTACAGAAGTGTTTTCTGAAAGTGCCCAAGTCCTAGTTCTTTATTGTATCTCTAAGCTCAACAGCAAGATGATTGATTAAGCTTGGGTTGGCCACACACAAGCCATCTTCCCCATGGGCCCCGTTCATACCAGAATGAGTGACTGTACCCCAGTAGGATAGTTTTAGGATAGGGGTAACATCTTGGGATAGCCAAATTTACTCAATAAATGTTCAAAGTAAGTTCTCCTAATGGTGCATAGTTGGATTTTTAGTACAGTAATCTGGAATCATGTTGGTAGGTCAAGTTTGATTAGTTTCTTTGATAAGGACCCAGTCTATTTAGAGGTTTGTCATTTCGTATGCCTGTTTTGGCCTCGTGTTGTGGAGCATGCTGCCTAGCAGCTGTAGTAATTTTTTTTTTTTTTTTTAAAGATTTTTTTTATTTATTCAGTTTTTTCCCCCCAAAGCCCCAGTAGATAGTTGTATGTCATAGGTTCACATCCTTCTAGTTGCTGTACGTGGGACTCGGCCTCGCATTGGACGGAGAAGTGGTGCCTCGGGGCGCTCCCGGGATCCGAACCCGGGCCGCCAGCATCAGAGCGCGCGCACTTAACCGCTAAGCCACGGAGCCGGCCAGCTGTTGTAATTTTTGTTGCTTGTCTTCTCAATCAACCCTGGTTTTGAAGAAATGAAAAGTTGTTTGACTCATAGAAAAGACTAATCTAGTTTGGGCAGTGATTTCCAGCTCAGGAAATTGGATCTTCTGAATAGGAGCAAACAATACCTATCTTTTTGCCTAAGAGATGATTCTTATTTTCTGAAGTATTTTACTGGTCATTACAAATAGAATCTTCAGGAGTAGCTGCTAAGTACTAAATAGTGGTCAGTTTGTGAGCTCTTAGAAGTTGCCAGCGGCTGCTATGTGTTTGATTTTCTTATCCGTAAACTTGCAAGCTGTTCTGTTTTTTCACATCTTTAATAGAGCCAGATTAGAAAATTTGTAACTGCGACATGTCGTCATAAATATGCATTGTTCTTATTTTAAGACATTTTGGTTCTAAAAGTGTGATTACTTCTGTTATTATCTGTGAATTTTTTTTGGATGTGTAAGACCTTTTTAATGGCAATATATATTTAAAACAGACATAAAAATTCGCATTCGCCCGCATACCCAAGGCCTGTGCAGAACCAGGTTGGGATGAGTGGGTGAGCGATAGGCTGCCAGGTGGCTCCTGTGGGCTCCTCTAGGACTGGGACAAGCAGCTTACGTCTGCTGCGAATTTGGGGGAAATAAAGTCTGCATTTTAGCTGCCATCCCTTCTAAGCGTTGCTGTTCTTGTTAGTTCATAAATCAATTTTCTCAGCAATTGGAGTGCAAATGGAACCATACTCTTCAAATTGTCCAGTATCTGGTTGAGTATCTGCTACGGGTAAGATGCCATGTGAACGAGGGAGACTCCCAAGTGACGCGGAGCCCTCCAGGAGACATGCAAGTCACTGGCTCCCCCAGGGGTCTCTGGTGGGGGGTTGACTTGGTGCTGGGCAGAGTCTTTACTAGACCAGCCTGTGGCCTCTGGGGGATATGTGCAGACACTCCATGTCTGACTTGACTAGAGCTTTCTTCTAATTGTGGACTAAAAGTAAACAGGAGTTTGGAGGAGGATGGAGAGAATTCACATCCCAGAGTTGGCTTCAGAATCCCTCTTTCCAGAAGGGATTTGCAACAACTTAAGACAAAAGACATTTATAACATGGCTCATAAAATGGGAAATCAGAGCAAAGGACAGGAGGAGAATTCACTAAGGGTTGACATGATTGCAAAGATGGTCAGAATGGGTCCCAGCTTCTCCCAGCCAGAGTGGAGAGGGTCATGCAGTAAAGGGAGGGAAAGGAGAGGACTTAAAGGATAGTGAGGGACCTTGTTGGTGCCAGGCACAGTACTGTGAGGGAATTAGCCTTCTCCCTATTTTACAGAGGATGAAACTAAAGGCAAAGAGGTGAAGTCACCGGCCTGAAGTTTGAAACCACCCCGGAGAATTGGCCTCAAAGCTATGTGTTGACTCAAGAATATGACGCTTGGGGGCCTGGCCCTGTGGCCTAGTGGTTAAGTTCGGCATGCTCTGCTTCGAGGGCCCGGGTTCAGTTCCTGGGTGCAGACCCACACCACTTGTCAGTGGCCATGTTGTGGCAGCGACCCACATACAAAATAGAGGAAGATTGGCATAGATGTTAGCTCAGGGCGAATCTTCCTCAGCAAAGAAAGAAGAATATGACACTTGGTATCATCAAAAGGAGGAAGGAGTTTCAGTTCCTTGGGATGAAAGAAATTTTTTCTAATCAAACATTTTACCTGAGGCTGTACTTTTAATTCTTCTTCCAGATTTTTTTCCTATATATATATATACTAATAAATGTAATAGTTTTTTTTTTTTTTTGGTGAGGAAGATGAACTCTGAGCTAGCATCCAATGCCAGTCCTCCTCTTTTTTGCTGAAGAAGATTGGCCCTGCGCTAACATCCATGCCCATCTTCCTCTACTTTATGTGGGATGCTGCCACAGCATGGCTTGACAAGTGGAGCATTGGTGTGTGCCCGGGATCCGAACCTGCGAACCCTGGGCCGCCGAAGCGGAGCGTGCGCACTTAACCACTGTGCCACAGGGCTGGCCTAATATTTGCTTTTTTTAATCCAAAAAAGGGGTTGTACTTTATCCTGTAGAGGATGTCACTTATATA